TTACTTCCCATCTCTGATGTACTCTAATCTAATATAATTTCAACTAATCTAATCACAAACAAATGTCATTTTCTGCAGTACAGAGTTTTATTCTTAGATTTAATATAGTGCTGCCAAAAATTCAGCGTATCTTTTGTACTCCTATCCAACTCTCCTAACATCTGTAGTACCTCTGCAAAGTTTAATGGGTGAATTAGAATTTCTTTATGTCCTCATTCTGTTACTTGCATGTTTTAACTGTATTTTACTTAAGTGGAATTGTTTATTTTAAGTTTTTCTGTCTATTTGCTTGTTTTTCTGCAGATCGACCACCTGCCCCTGTCAACGTGTCGGTTATGAACCTACGAGCTGACTCAGCAACAGTGTCCTGGGAGGTTCCAGAAGGGGATATAATAATAGGGTTTTCCATCTCACAACAGGTAATGACTATCCTTTAACTTAAAAACAGATTTTCAAAATCCAGTTCTTAGCTATGTATACCCCCATAACCTTTTCATGTTTTTTTCATTGGGTGTAATTTATTTGGAATTTTATTCAAAAGACCAAAACAGAAGAGCCCAGAAAAAAATATTACAAAATTAATTAATAAGAATATGAAAGGCTATGAAAGGAATACGTGCAATAAATTCAAACCCCTTAGCTCTGATTCCTCAATTAGTGCAACCAGTCGCCTTTAGAAGTCTACCAATTAGCGATTAGACACCACCTGTGAGTAATTTTAACTTAGCATAAATTAAGCCATTCAGTGAAGGCTTTGTAAGTTTGTTAGACAACGTCAGTAAAAGCATAATGAAGACCAATAAATACAGAAGACAGGTTAAGAATTAAGTTGCAGAGAGGTTTAAAGCATAACGAAACATCTAAACTGATAGCAAGACACAAGCAATATTAGGTAAAGAAGAAGCTACTGTACAGTGACCCTTGCTGAGCTGCAGTGATTCACAGCTCCTGGGGGGACCTGTTAAAAGCAAAGTTATTAGTGTTGCACTGCACAGTTCTGGCCATTAGAGAAATCTGGTAAAAAAAAAAAAAAAAAAAAAAAAAAGTAGTTTTTTTAAATAAAGCCATTAAAAAGTCCTGTTTAGTTTTCAACAAATTCCATGCAGCGGACATAGCAAACACGGTGCTTTAGTCAGATGAGACCAAACAAAGTTTTGGCCCAAATGTGAAGCGTTATGTGTCAAAACTAACTTCTGCACATTTAAAAATACTATCTACAACAAAAAACATGGCGATGTGCCCTTACAAGGGAAGATGGTCAGAGCTGATAGACAAAAAACAGATACAGTTTTCAAAAGCCTTGAGCTTGGGCAAGGGGTTTACCCTACAGCTAACAATGACTACTAAGGTAAGCCATAGCTGTAATGACATGGCTTAAATAAACACAAAAATGGTTTGTCATAAGTTGCTCTACATCACCTCTCACAGAGCCGACGAAGCATTTTTGGACAATTTTAACAGGGCATGGAATAAGAAAAATATCTAGAATAGAAAGAGGATATGGGCGTTGTTTAAGTAGTGCACAGAATTAAATACATTAAATGAATTGAACTACCGGGTGCTATTTTGGCTTCCTTAATATGCTCCATTCTACATATCACAGCTTCTTGTTTGTTTACCAATATGCTCTTTACCTCTGTTATAATAATCAAACCATCTCCAATGAACTGTGTGCTCTGCTTTTAACCCATCCCTTGGGACTGTGTGCCAGGGTAGGTGTCTGTTTGATTTAAACCAGCAAATGTGCAGCCTTTTCAGAATAAAAGTTCCATGTTTGAACTACTAGTCCTGCCCTGCAATGACTATCCTAAATGTGAGCTAAATAATCTGAGAATTGTAAACGTATTGCACGCTTCATTAGTACTCTACCTTCCAAAGCAACATTTCTCTGCACATCCCACATCTGTTTCTTCAGTTTTAGAAACATACAGTATAAAACAGCATAGACATATACAATGAGTGGACAAATATACAGAGGTATAGATCAAACCTATTTGAAGTATCCTAAATAATCACTTGCAACTTTAACTACAGCCAAACTGAGATTTGGCTGTTAAAAAATCTTTTAAAACCAAGTACAGTATCAGCTTCCTCACTCTGATAAGTATTTAGTACCTTGTATTTGTGTAGCAAATACAATTGTAAATCCTATTTGTCAGACACTAGTGCAGGTATTTTTTAATCAAGATATAGATCCTGTTTATACCTTTAGCCATTTGTAAAGGGATATATACCATAAAGATTGCACAACTTAACCATTTTTTATGAAGGTCACGTTAACTGAAAACTCATTATTGTTCATATTGTTTTATTAAAGAAATACCTCCTTAAGCCTTACTGAAGTGTAAAGTTTAAAAAATATATAAAGACATGAGGAAAGTTATTCCATAAAAGTCAGATTTGGAGAATAAAAGCACAGTGGTTAGGCTGATTAACTTTATATTTTAAATATAAAGATATCTAAAGGCTTAAAACTGTAAAAAATGATGACTCTTGCCTCTGACTGATGCAACAGAACAGGCTCTTCTGTAATCATTTTTATGCTCTATGCAACTCTGAACATAATGATTTCACTTACTCTTCCTTTGAGCGTGACTGAATAGTCTGTCTCCTCAGGGTACTACATCATCAGTTGGCAGCTGAGTTTGTATACTCCCTATAATTCCCTAAAGTTAACATAAGAGTTTAAGCATGCATTATTAATTATTTCTGTATGTGAATCTTTTTTTAAAGCAATCGATGTGGCCCAAAGACAAGAAAAAGCTCTACCTGGGAGAAATAAAAAAGAAAATGAAAAAAATTTCACAGTCTGATCTTTTGAAAGATTTTCTTATAAAAGGCCTGTGGTCTACAGTAATAGCAAGTTTGACTCCAAAGGCTTTGATGTACAGAACCTGAGAGTAAAACACTGAGAGGGCTCTATGTGTTGTTCTCAACAGTATTTTTGGTTCGTCAGCTCTGCTTCATATTGGCATGCATTCTGAGAAAGGATCAAAGCCTTTTCTGCCTTTTCAGCATGGCACTATATTGATTTTAAGATCAAATTTAATGAAGCAAAGTTAAGACACTTCCAAGAGAAGACAATGCATCTCCAAGAGACTCATTCTGCAAATCTCTCTGGTCACCCTAATCAGCTAACTTCCCTCAGAATGGATAATTACCGGAATTGCTTAATAGTTTAATCTATTATGTTGCTCTCTGTTTTTTTTTTTTTTTTTCCCGACTTCCAGAGGCAGGATGGACACATGCAGCGTTTCATTCGTGAGGTCAATACTACCAGTCGCTCTTGTGTTCTTTGGGACCTGGAGGAGGAAACTGATTACATCATCCAGGTCCAGTCCATTGGGCTATATGGGGAAAGCCAAGCCAGCAAGAAAGTTCATTTTCGTACTCTCAAAAAAACGGACCGGTTCTCTTCCAACAGCTCCAACCAAGGTATGCTGCTTATTTGCCCAGAAGCTTGTGTTCCCTTTTTTTGTAAAAACATTGCATTCATTGATAAATACTGAAAGAACTTTAATATGGTTAGCTTTTTATTTTTTTATTTCATATTCAAAACATATTTATTGAAAGACAAACAAAGTAAAATTTCTTGAATGCACAAATTACAGCCAATAAAGCTCTTTGAGATTATTCTCTTGTAGATTTTGTCAATAATAGGCCAGGAAACATTAGCACTTTTATTTATGTCCAAAATAATTTCCAAAAGTCTGGAAGTATTTGAAGCCTGGGGCTAAGCCAACTTGTTTTTCTTCTTCTTTTTTTTTATTTTTTACAAATTAAATATGACTTCAGCCACAATCTTTGTAGTATTGGTAGATACTTTGGATTTATTAGAACACTATGAAATCAGCCAAAGCGGAAATATTTACAAATAGACATATTGCTTATATGCGTTACTCTGCTTCTCTCTTTTGCTTTGATCGATAACATTGTTATGTGCAATTAACCACAAAATACCAATTTCCAGTTGTTTTAGATTTAAATGAAATGAAATGAAAAATGAAAATGAATAAAACAAGAGAGTTTATGTTTCATGAGACTCATTTTGAATTGTTCAAAATTTGAATTTATGAATATTTAAAGTCATGTTTGAAGTTAGCTTCTCAAGTACCACACGACTTGTGTGTTATGCTACAATCGAAACCAGCTACAACAATAACCTACAATATGAAACCAATCGAAAAAGCCTAATTCAATGTGGATTAGATGTCATCGAAGTTTATTTCAGTATTCATAAGTTCCTTTCACAGAACATTCATGGATACAGGAAAACATCTGACGGCTGTGCCAGCAATACAATCAGGCAATCCACAAGAATATATGAAAGGCTAGTCAATAAAAGGGGATTAACAAGCTAAATAATCCTATGGTTTTAAACATTTTTAGAAACCTTGAAAATGTTCCATTTCCTATAGTGTTAAGCTGTTATAAATCATTTTTCTGTGTAAGAACAACTGTGTAAGACAGATTTATCGTGAATTGTATAGGTTCTTAAAAGCAGATAAAAGTTTCTCTCTTTTTTTTTTTTTTTTAACCATGGTGTGGTCAGGCTTGGTGGGTGCTAATTGAGGACCCAAATGCAGAAAGAAGTTTTGCTGATTTAATGAAAAAGGCAACATAAATATATACACATATATATATATATATATATCTATATATATATATCTCTCTCTCTATATATATATATATATATATATAGGTGGGACAGAAAAAAGTGGGCTGATAAGCTGATGTGGAGCAGGTGTGGAAAGGAGGAACTAGAGGGCAGCCCAGGGAAAGGAGGCCCAAGGGGGCAACAGAGAGCAACTCAAAAACTGTAACACTGCATAAATACAACACAAAATGCAAAAGAAAAAAATGACCAAAAATAAAAAAGAAAACACAATGGCATAATTAACTGAAAGCTTAAAAAGAAACTGAAAAAGAAGTCCAAAATGGAAGAACTACACAGGTGTTCCTTTACTACCTCTTCATCAAGCAACAACATTGTTGGCGTTTCTTAGTGTTTACCTCTAAAGAAATAAACAGGAAGACCCCTACATCACATAATCAAAACCCGAATAAATACCAATCTAACACTGATAGAAATAACACTTTCCTTCTAATTCTGCATAAATCCAGATATACTGACAAACTCAACCTATTACAGACATTTCTCCTGCTGTTGCACTAAAGCCCCTTTTTACCCTCAATCCATTTAAAGCATACTGACAGTGAAATGACACAAAGTGAAGGCAAGTGTTGTTGAGTGCAACAACATGAAGGCTTCCTGTCAGAACCTCACTGTGGAATCGGGGCTGGTGATGAAGGGAGAATGCTTTCTCACAGACAGCAATGCATTATTGACAGACTCTTCAGGCATTGCGAGACACTCTGAATTGATGTGATGTTGCATAACCTGCAGTGATTCTCTACAGACTCCAAAACATTTTAAATTCACTGTATGGGCTCATCTCAGGGACTGGTAGAAAGAAGAAGACTGTGATGAATAGAGAGTAAATTCCTTGGCTGTTTATTATTTTTTTTATGCTCAGAGAGAAAAGAAAATCTCTAAAGGCCTCTGAAGCTAGCTCAGGCATGACTACATGATGAGCCAAATGTATTTAGTCTTGAAATAATGGTCTCTCTTGACACTTGTTTGTGAGCAGGCCTGATGCATTGAGCTAAAGTTTTAACAATGATTTTACAGCAATTGGAGGTTGTGAGAAATGAAACCGCTGATACAAGCAAATCATAGATGTTTCTTTAGGCTGACTCAGGTTTCATTTAATTTGTTAAGCAAGCAAGACTATCTAAGGTAGAAAAAAAAAGAAACTGTGCCCTATATATCAAGCTAACTCGAGTGCTGACATACTGTTTTACAAATCCAACACATGTTTAATTAATTTAAGACAATTACACTGCTATTAATATAGATCAATAAAGTGCAGTGCATAAACAGTCTAATGGCCGGTGCTGACACTTGGAGACAACATTGAAGCATTAATCAGGATTTGTAGCCCCTCCGGGTCGTCCAACTGGGTCAGAAAAAGAGCTCAGTCAGTGGAGTAAAAACATTTTTTATGAGTTTGTTTTAGCATGTTAAAGTAAGCACTTTCAGCATTTTCTACATCCAATACCAGCAACAACATAATATTTAAACGTGCAACTTTCTGAACATCATACCTCAATTTGGTTTTCAGGTTTTTGTACAGCTTTTTCTTTACTTTAATGTTGTATTTATATTTATTTTAGAGTAAACTTAAATTTGATACAAACAACAACAACCTATTCACAACAGTAAAAAAAAGCAATAAATTACAAATCAATAGTTGAATTGTTGTTTTTATCGACTCACTGTCAGACCGAATCACTGGTATGAAAGAGATGATCCCAAAGCATTGTCTGCTTCATCTGAATATAATTTAGAGTGCATACTTTCTTACACTACATTTTAGTTTCACCACAGCAATCACTCCAACCTGGAAGGCACACAATCCCAGATTCACAGTTATTCAAACCGTTCATCTCTACACTGAATGGGGAGATGTGTGCCTCTGAAAGAAATCTTGCAGGTACCTGACAAAAGTTTCACACTTTAAAGAGAAGGATCTCATACCTTTTGCTTTCAGACCACAGGGGCAACTTATGCGTTACCTCTTACTGCACTCCAAAATACAGCTGTGTGGTAAATATTTTATGTTTTACCTGAATGTTTTAGAGGCCTCTGAAGAGGTATTTTACTGAAAACTAGAGTATACAGGAAATCCCCATTGATACTGGGCATGGATCAAATAGTTAAAATGACATCAGTTTTGGGCAGTTCCAATTCTCTGCCACTTAAATTGTAAGAATATTAACTTAAGTCTGAGCCAAGGTCTCTTCTTTTCTTTTTTTATCTATTGACTGCACACACATTTCACTTTTACTTCTCGAATGACTGCAGCCATCGGGTGTATCAGAGACCAAAAGATGAGTACAGGGAGCTGCTCGGCAAAAAATTGCTGCTGGAAAATATTTTAACTTAGTGAGAACTAAACAAGGGATGCTTGTAATTTGATAGAGGCAATTTACAGAAACTACATTTGTGTAACTTGAATTGTAATTTTGGATTTGACCAACATCATCCATATGATGTTTCTGTTATGTAAGAAGGTCTGAAAAATCAAAAAGTTTTGCGACACAGCAGTCCGGAGCTCCTTTTCTAAACAAAGAGAGTTTTCCCTATTGACGCCGTTAAAGGTAAAGGAACAGGAGCAAGAGAATATATATGCTGAGTTTGAATTCAGTGGCTGTGACCTCCAAAGGCCATATTTGTCGTCCGCTTACATCATAGCATGACGCTGAGTTTAATATAATACAAGTATCTGAATAGTTACATCTGAAATTAATTAAAATTGTTATTTTAAATGGTTAGTGATTCAGATATGTGGAGGATAATGTTTGGTTTATTGAAAAGTTTTAGCTGCTTCAGTGCAAATGGGTTTGGCTGACATTTAAGCATAGATTCCAATATCTCTGCAGAGTGGGGACTACAAATCTGAAATGTTATTAGCACTACAGAACAGTAGTGAGAAGTTCTGTATCCATTATTTGCCTCCTTTGTGTGCCAACTGTAACGGTTAATAGTCCACAGATTGTACAAGCGGCGAAAGCTGGAGAAGGCTGGACCTGTTTGAATGGATAGTCAACCTCTTCCGGCCTCCTTATTTTCATGGACCTCGAATTGAAAACACCCATGGAGTGCATCCTCCAAAGGACCCAGCCTACCTGGACTGGGTCATTCAAAGGCGTTGAAAATGAGAAAGGCCAAGAGAGTTTGGTTATATATTTTTGAACGAAGGCTCTTTTGCCTAGTAACCGTGGCAGTTGATACGCAAAGCAGACAAAGAATGAATTTCGGGCTTCTTTATTGCCGTTTTGTATGCAGATTTAGTTTTTGAGGAGCTTCAGCAGCAGGACCATTGTTGCAGATATCAGATTCGTAGTTCCCACACAGCACAGATATCGGAACATGTGTTTAAATGTCAGCCAAACCTATTTGCAGTGGGACAGATACCAAACATTATCTGCAACATATCTGTCTCACTAACATTTTTTTTCTAAACTATTTCTATTAATTTAAGATGAACCTATAGGCATACTTGTATTATATTAAACTGTACTTACGATTCAGCACCATTTTCTTTTTTACTCTGAGCATGGAGCAGCCTGCTTGTTTGGACTCGCAATGAATCACGGGATGCCTTAGGCCACGAAGGATACACCAGACCTTTCTATAAAACTGGGGAAAAGAAGGCTGCATTTGTCGGCTGCATATGAAAGAGTCTGCGAATCTGAACAGGCCACAGCATCGCTCTATGAAGTAAACGGCCCCATGAATCTGGCTTTTGGAGCTTTCAGCTGCCTGATTTGAACATTAATTGGACCATTATAGACACAGCCAGTGCTCC